AAATGGAAGGGTTAGATGTAATAAGGTGCCAAAGCTAAATTTCAAAGCTAATAGTTATCACGATATGATTAACTGGAAGACCATTGACTGTTCCACCATTTTTTTGTACAGTTTCTAACGAAGAACTCATAAAAGGGCTGTCGGGTGGCACTGCAGAGGTATGGACATTTAGTGAATTCCCCTCTCACACCGCGACAGTCGATAGAACCGTCAAACTGGTGACAGAGGCATCTTCTAAAGTTGTTGGCCCACAATCTCGTGATCGTTTTATACGCTCTACACTGAAATCTATGTAACAAGTGCCAAAGTTTAGTACAAAATCTGATTTTATCAATAAATTTGACACAGATTCAGACTAAAAGAAGTCTGACATATGGTTGGTTGGTTGGGTTGGGCTTGGGAGGAACCCGAAGGGCAGCCACCTCCCCGCGGTGGGTTCTGGGTGACCAATACAAGTTAGCTGAGAGCTGCAACAACTTTCATCTTGCGCTGTGGCGCGCCGCATATTCGCTCGTATCTCGAGAACGGTTCGTTCTACGGCCATGATCACATATACCATTTCGGTAGCAAATGACGTGACAAATAACTTTTGTTTTATACATTTTTCCATGAGATGCGCATTGCCTAAACCTAGACGAGAATGGAGAAGAGACTCAATAGGGTAGGAAGATACCACTTCAGGCTATACCGACGAATTCAAAATGGACTGCGGAGTAGGCACGGGAGTATTTTCCTATGATCTGGACATTTCTTTCTCTATCCGTCTATCGAACTTGGCGAGCATCTTCCAAGCGGAAGTACTGGGCAGAAAGAAGGCCTGCGAAGCTCTATTGGAAAATCACAAGAGGATACGTATTTTATTTCTTTTTGTTTCAATATCTTTTTATTTATTGAATCTGCTTTTCGTTTTAAAAGACTAGCAACAACTTATAAAATCTTAAATCTATTAAATAACTAGACACGCTCAAGTTTTGGTAATACATTGCTTTTTAATACGTGGTCGTATCTTTTCTTTTAAGGCGTGTTTGATCACAAGAATGTACCAATTGAAACCTTTGTAATATATCAATATTAGTTGCACAGATCGTACCCCACAGTTGAATGCCATATATCCAAATCGGCTTTATGACCGCATTATGTATAAGCACGTTATTGTCTAGGCTAAGTTTGGAGTTTTTATTTAAAAGAGAATTTTAATTTGCAGCCCTAACCTTCATCATATTTTACTAGAGATGTGTTTTCTCCACGTGAGCCTTCTATCTAGGTGAATACCAAGATATGTTACTTCGTTGGCTTGGGGTACTAAAATATTGTTTATTTTTACTGCTGGGCATATCTTTGGTCTTAGCGAAAACGTAATTTCCTTACACTTCTGTTCATTCGCGTTTATATGCTAGTTCGCTAGCCACTCTTCGGCAGAACTTAAATGCTTCGCTAATATTCGTGATGCTAAAATGTGGCATTTGTTACGGCTCACTATAGCTGTGTCATCCGCAAAAGTTGAAGTTAACACATTATTAGCTGTTGGAATATCTTATGTATATATGATGTATAGCCTTGGGCCTAAAACACTGCCCTGGGGTACACCAGCCCTTATCTCTCTTTCATCAGATATGGAAACTCCCACTTTTACCATAAATTTTCCATTTTTTAAATAAAACTCCAATATTTTATACAATTCTGAAGGTAGAATATTTTTAATCTTATATAAAAGKTCCTCATGCCATACCTTATCAAACGCCTGAGCTACGTCTAGAAATATAGCTGAGCAGTACTCTCTGTGCTCAAATGCTTTTCTTATTTCGTTAGTAATTCTATTTGCTTGCCCTATCGTGCTATGTTTTTCAGGAAACCCGAATTGGTGCGTTGATATTGTATTATTTTCATGGAGGGAAGGAGACATCTTTGAGAGTAATACTTTTTCAAATACTTTTGAAAGACAGCGTAGAAGACTGATTGATCTCTGTATGAAGACGGCTGTTTTAGGTCTTTCCGAGGTTTGCCTATCAAGATAATCTGCGACTTTTTCCATGAATTAGTATAGTGTCCGAGATTAAGAATGGCATTGAAGAGCAAAGAGAACACTTTTACGGCAATATATGGTAGCTCAGTTAGCATTTTTGGGTTAATATTATCATGTCCTGGTGACTTTTTTGGGTTAAGTTCTTTTAGTATTCTAGTAACTTCAGAAGTAGAAGTCCTAATAGACACATGCGACAGGTTTGCGGTATTGGGCAATATTAGCAACTCAAAGTTGTTCTTTGGGCAATTGGGTTGAAATACCTTTTCTAGGTGATTTGCAAAGCTATTGGCCTTATCCTCATCACTACGTGCTTAATTACCATTCAACTGTCTTAGAGGCATGTTGGAATCCACTGATTTCTCGAAAGACTTTTGGGTTTTCCAAAGGGAGTTTGCTTGCTAGAATTTGGACAAAGATTCTATATATAATAATCAGTGTTGTGTTCTTCTTCGCGTTTAAGCGCTTTTTTAACTTTCGTACAGCGGATTTCAGTTGAAGCAGAGTTGAAGGGGAGCGATTTAACTACCATTCCCGTTTAGCTCGTCTTTTTTCATTTACAAGTGTCTCTATTTCAATATTGGTGATCTTTCGAAAACCAACTGGTTTACTGTTTCTTTTTGGTGTTGCCACTACACTTGCATTAGTTATTAGGTCATTAATTTCTCTTATATTTTCATTTATATTTTTATTTTGCAATCAATATTGATGTGGCTGCCGATATACTTTCTATACTTCAACTAGTTAATTTTAGATGATGTTAGAGAAACTTTTGGCTTAAATATCATGGGCTGTTCGTATAACTTTATTAGTACAGGAGAATGATCAGATGATAAGTCTGTACATGTATCAGCTGTTATAAACGAACTATCTATATTTATGACTACACCAAAATCTATTAAGTCTGGTATTTACGTCTGGTTACGACATGCAGGACAACCCCTGTAGTTAGCAGTGTAGTTTCCTCCACAATTGCTGCATTTTTTAATTAATTCTTCCTTCTTAAGGATGCATTTCGAAGTGGGATGTAAATTACCACATACCACACAAACACTGTGTAGAGTGCAATATGATTTAGTCTGCCCATATTCTTGGCAGTTAGTACATTGTACCGGACCGTTTCTTTTATGTGGTTCTTCCACAGTTACTCTACGATGCAGCAAATATTTCAGATTATATAGGATGGGTCTCATTTCGAAGTTGATTAGAATTCGGCAACAATTCAATTTTAAACATTGACTGTGGCACTTTGTTTCTATTAAATATATTTACAATTGTTTTTATACCAAACTCGTATTCTTCCAAAATTAACTATTTCTAAAAAACTTTTTTCAGTGTAGGACTGAATTTTTGTTTTATCAATATTGCCTTTTTTCAAGGACACTATATAAAAATTGTTAGGGCCAACAATTTTACTTAATACAGAAACGAGAGCATTACTGCTACGCTCGCGCAAATATATTGGGAGTGGTTTGGCATTAACGACTGTGGTTGTACCGTTCGCATCGTCGTCTGATCCATTGCTTAGTAAAGCAAATCTATTGCCATTTAAAACTTCCGGTTTATTCTTAATTGGTGTACCTCCTTGGAATTTTTTAGGATTGACCGCTGGCTTTGTAGGACTTAATTTCCTTTTTATATTGACGTGGCGGTCAATGCCTGTTTGTACAGACGGGCCTTGTTTTGTTGGTACACTCTCACCTTGCGTTGTGATTTTGTTCGTTACCTGCGCTTTTGCTGTACCTGCAGACTGGTTGCTGTTCGGGCATTGTTGTTTTGGGCTGCTTCCGCTGACTGCGTTCTTTACTTCGATTGCTTTTCAGCTGATCGCCGCGATGACTCATTATCGCCGTTGTGGTTGTTGCTGGATCGACAAAGCTAAAGTAGGAATTTAAGGAATGCCTGCACCCTTGCTGATGAGGCTGACTCATTATTGTTTGTTTGATTTTGTGCTTTTTTTTTTGTTTCAATTTTTGATTCGTGCACTATTTGCTTATGTTTATTATTAGTAATTTGTGTGCACTATTTTTAATGTTTGTTTCCAATTGAATAAATTGTTTTTGTTTTACTTTTTGTTTGATTTTATTATTTATTTATTTTTGTAAAGATTGAATTCACGGAGCGAATTAAATAACACGTCCGTATTCTTTGAACTTTAACTTTGAAAAACATAAAAAATATTTTTTTATTAAAAATAAATAAATAATAAAAATTAATTTGAACTTTGACTTCACTCGTCCATAATTCCGGGCTATTTTTATGAATAGCATCGCGCGAACGACGAATAACACTGAAATAGAATTCTTTGTTGACAGTTTGGCTGGTCGGAAGGAATTCGGAGTGCACCATACCTAGATAATCGAAAAATTTTGTATATAGCCTTGATTTTTGACCTACTTTGGCGCGGTTTCGTCGACTACGGATCATTTTTGCCAAGATATTCCGATTGATCTCCGTTTCCAGATCATCAGCATAAATCGAAGAGTCATCGCCGGTTATAATTCGTTTCATGACATCCTGTTGGTCGAAAAGCATTGTTTCACAGGCGAAGCTGGTTGCTAATCAGGGGCATATTCTGTAACTCGATTCGAAAAAAAAAATTTAGTCGGATTCAGATTTTTTATATTCTGTAACTCGATTTTCAGATTTTCAAGACAATTTTCGAATATAATATTCGTTAACTTTTGAGCTATAGAAATCAAAAACCAAAATTTTACGTATTTATTCTGGCACAGGGTGGTGCAAATTTCGCATAATTATAAAGTAGATTCGAATTTCGAATAGAATACATTTCCGAATCGAGATAAATCGTCTAAGCTAAGCGCTTAACCAGACAGTGGGAAAACGATCCTAAGTGTAATAAATAACAATTGGGAGAACAAAGCTCCTATACTTTGTGGCAAACTATTTTGAAAGTATTAAAATTAAAGATCCTATACACAGATATAGATTTGAAAATAAACTTTCTAAAATTTTTCAGGCACTAACAATAAATCTGACAGAGCACCGTTTGGCAACTACGAATGTAAACAATTTAAAAAAACAATACCGTGATGAAAATGGAAAAAATATATTGACCATCGGAAAGAAAGAATTCCATCATATTGATCATCAAAATAAATTCAGAGGAGAGTGGGTAAGTTCGGTTGCATCAAAGCTATAATACTTTTCACAAATACAAAATATTCCTTACAGGAGCTTGATTTTGATCGTTTAGTTTGTATGAGAGCTATGCAGGGTTCGTCCGGAAAGTAATAGAACTGATTTTCTTCCGCCGCGACTGTACTTCAGAGTGTGCACGCATAAACTGGATTCTGTAGCAGGCGTTCTTAGCTAACGAGTGAGCGGCTGGTCAGTTGCCTCCGAGCACCTGGAGAGTTAGAACAAACATTTTCTGTGGGTGGTGCAAGCCGAAAATACAGCGTTCCTTAGAACAGAGGTACGAGATTAAATTGTGTGTGAAACTCGGTAAATCTGCGACAGAGACGTCTGATATCATCAAGCAGACTTACCCAGATGTTGCTTTACAAAGAAGTGCGTTCGGTGGCACCAGGCATTTTTGGAGGGCCGGGAAAAGGTCGCTGATGAAGACCGGAAGAATGAGCAAACTGAAAGTGAAAATGATGCTCATTATCTTTTTGACATCAAAGGCATCGACCATCATGAATTTGTTACTCCCGGATAAACCGTTAATGCCAATTTTAACGTAGTAGTCGTCAAGAGACTCAAACGAAGGGTCAATCGGGTCCRACACGACATGGCAGCGGATTGGAAGTTACACCACCACAACGCCTTTCCTGTGAAATTACCTAACTAAGGGATACCAACGCTTCCACAGCCACCTACAGTCCAGATGTGAACACCAAATCCACCATCTACCATACTGCATCGACGCAGAAGGAGCACATTTTGAAAGTTTTTAAAGAAGGAAGATAAATTTTGTAACGATTGGTTCGATAAATTATTTTAATTGACTCAATCCTATTACTTTCCGGACAAAYCCTGTATGTTATAATAATCCGATCAAAGCGATTTCTGCGTGAGACCCGAGTCTAGGGTGGCACGATTTAGGGGCGGCAAAATTTACGAACGTTACAATTTTAAAGCCAAAGAAATATATAATATAATGTAGAATATATATAAAATTTAGTTTTGACTATAATATAATAAGTTTTTCCATTGACTTCTTAATTTCTTAATTATTTTTATTAATCAATCATAGCATTTATCGAATAAGGTTTGAAAATAAATTTTCGAAGCAATAAACAATCTTGTTTTTAAAATCCTAGATACTTTAGACTCCTGTATCGTTGATAGGACTGTTTTTATATATGTAAAGCATTTTAAACTTAATTTTTGGAGTTGAGTGGACATACGTATGATCCATAATAGTTTTAAATATAAAAGATATTTTATTACAGAAGTTATTTTTTTATTCAAAATATCAGGTAAAATTTTTGTAAAAATGGAAAGAAGCCAAAACCACATTTGTTTTATCAGATCGAAAAAATTGGTAATTTAATTTGAGAGTTTTAATTGTGTGATTGTCATCTCAACAATTCGATCGGAGTGAAAGTATTGTGCATTATTACGGTTGAGAATTAGTTCCGAAGTGAGTGTTACACATGTTTTCAGAAAACGAGGGCGTATTTGTCTAAACCAATATGTTATATAAGGAAATTATATTAGTAATTCAAAATAAAATGTTACAACGTATTTCTAGAGAAGTGCAATCTGCTAATTAATTTGGTGCAATCCTGGATTCTACGCCTAATATTGCACATGTCGAAAATATTAGGATAATTATATCTTCCGTAATAACTTTAAAATTGTTGAGAGATTTCTAGAATTTTTACCGAAAGATATAGAAGATATTCTATTAAAATCTCTTGAAAACAATGTTTTACATATAATGAACTGTCGTCTCCTATTTTATGATAACGCGATCATTATTTCAGGAGTGCAGTTCTGTAACAGAAACAGTTGATTTCTTCTACTTTGCAGGAACTTTATAATTATTTTGCTATATCAACAAATGATTGGGAGATCTTAGTGCAACGAACAAGTTTATCAAACTCATTGGCCTGGTGTAACTAATGCACTGAAATTTGGTGCTGAAAATCGCGATGAAAAACCAACTACAAGATCTCCAGTTGCATTATTGTAGCGAAATTTACAGTATCTAGAAGCGGCAATTCTGATCATTGTTCGTAATATTATTTTAGATAGTTTTAATGCTGCAAGGAAGAACTTTAGAAATGTCAAGTACATTTATCATATGTGGTACAAATCTATGGTTAGTTCATAGGCATCATTTCTTCAAGATCTAAGAGACAAAGAATTCTCTGAATGTGATCACAAATTAATGAAATCTCGTCAAGAAAATTCTGGCATTAGTGCGTATTACCGAATTTTAGACACATAGCGAGTACAATTGGCCGTAAGTGACAGTGCTTATTAAAGGCTCTACGGATATTTGGAAGATATTGGGAATGAATTTATTCATTTACAATGACAACGMATTGTACGTTCCGAACAATGCATAGGCAAAGTATTGCATTCTCTAAATCTTTGGGATGTTTATCCAAACGTAGCAACGTATATTTTTGAGTATTTTCTTTACGAATTGTTCCGAAGGAAGATCTTTAGAAAGGGCTTTTAAAAATTATTTGTTAAATCTATGTATATATCTTACAAACCACCAATGTACAATTGGGTTGTAAGTGTCCGTATGTTTGTATTATCAATGCGAAAATGTCCAAAGAACCAACATTAAATTTTCTTTTAAAATTGATGAAACAAGTTTATGGCGATGATTGCCTGCCTATACGGTAGCAGAGTGCACGAGTGGTTTCAACGTCGTGAGGACATAAATGACGATCAACATGCGGGCCAATCAATTCTTCGAAACTGTGCGTGAATTCATCAAAAATTATCCGAAATCATAATTGATATTCACGGCAATAGAATTGAAMCTCTCCAAAACATCGATTTATTGAATTGTGACCGAACATTTGGGCTTACGAAAGGAATGTGCACGGCACATTCACAAATTTTTTTTAGGTACAAAATCTTTTATATTTCGCCTTGGTAAGCAATTGCCCGATGCATCTCCCATGAGCATTTGTTGGACGGCGGGTAGGATGCAGGTCGCAATGCCTATCGGAAACAAAAACTAGTTCAACTAAAAACATTCAAAAAAAAAAAGTTCAAAATTTTAGAAATTTTTTAAGAATTGGAAAAAAGTGGTGAATAAAAGTAGTAGTGACCAAAAAAATTTTACTTTATGCTGTTTAAAAATATGTTCAAACTTGCCATTTCTTAGTTTTTTTTAGTTTAACTGGAGGATAATTTAAGGCCAAAGATAATAAACTTTGCCCCAATTCCATAGGACGTTTAGTTTTTTTTTCTATCCTGGTCGCCAAATAAGAAAACCCGTAAAGATGAAAACCGAGAAATCGCGTGTCAAAGTTTTCGTTTTCTGCCCAATCTCTCATATATCTGCTAGACGCTCGGTCACTTCAAAAATATTTCAAATTCTCATCTAAACCTTTGACGACATATTCTTAGATTATTTTTAAAGAGAGAGCAAAAAAAGAAAAATAGCTTTTTTGAAGCTCCTAAGCAGGCTCCCCCCTTAAAGGAGCGCGGCATTGACCGAAACACACGGTAGTTTGATGGCGCAAGCTCAGGGCAATAGATGCATCAAAATTTCCCAGCCAAGCTCTCAAAGTTTTTGCCGAGTTTTGCATGTTTTAATGTTATCAGTTGTTGACAGTAAAATGTATCACTGTTCCATCAGGCTTGAGCAGGTTATAGTGGATGATACCTTTCCAATCCCAACAAACACTCAGTACGACATTTCGAAGCGTCAATCCTGGCTTTACGATCATTTGTTGAGCTCCACCATGATTATCTTCGCACATTATTGTAGGAGACGTACACGGACGGACGACTCGAAGCGGACAGACATATTAATATATAAATATATTATTATTTACTTACATTTCTAACTAAACAACTATTACTTATATTTTTAACTTAAACTACATAAATACGAAAGAATGCAACCTTGCTATGGTAGTCGTAGTCAATCCCAACTTGACGAATATGCAAGACGCGTACCTCACAACGGATAAACTGGACAGTTGCTTTTTGAATGTGAATGAAGATACAACTGAATCAATATATACTTGCTTACTACAAATTTTTCAGTGTCTACTTATTTCCTACAAATTTTGGGGACTCAACCGCGAATGAACATTTGAGCCAAATAAGTCGAGTGTAATTAAAAGTGAAGATATTTATATATATTTATGCTGCGTTTAAACAAATTTCGTTATTATTAATAAATAGCAACTCGAAGTGTGTTGAATGTGACTGGTGAATACATTCATACGTAGTTGAAAAACTTAAATATTTTTGATATATTCGGGTTGGCGTTAAAAACATTGACAAACATTTCTCGGTGAATATTTAAATGGAGAAACTGTTATATAATTGTACTGTATATAATTGTATAATGAAAACCAGAGGCTTCAAAGCATTTCCACGAACATGGGAATTTTTTTGAATTGTACGTTACATTTTGAATTTGAAAACCCGAAAAGCAGTCGGTAAAACGAAGACGAAGAAAGAGTTACGCTATCGATGAACGAGAAGTTCCAGAAACTTATGACGCGAGTGAAGAGCAGTAAAAGAAATTAAGCTGAATTCTGCTACAAAAGGTAAAAAAAAGAGCGAAGTATAGCGAGGTATAAGGTGAAGCAGTACAAGCAAAGAAGCTGTATTGTCGTTAAAGTGTAGAAGAAGTAAGACACAATTGTTAGAACGAAGTTCAAAGAGTTACGCTATCGATGAACAGAAGTGAAGTGTAATGAAGGATAAAGTGAAACAGTACAAGCAGAGAAACTAAATCAGCGAACAATAAGAAGTCATTATAACAACAGATGCAAAGTAAACGAATCAAACACTGCAATCAACATTCAAATACAAGTCTGTATAGTAGAAGCAAGAAAGAGAGGCAACAACCATTTTTGGAGAAGAGTAGTTATTGACATCAAAATTCGGTAATAATAAGGTTAATAATATAAAAAGAGGAGCAGTAATAGTACTTTATAAAAAAAAAAACACAATTTCATAAGAAAAATTTATAACTAACTAAGTGAGAAAAAAYATAAGTAAATGAATTTGAAGAAGTAAAGTAACTACATTAAACATATAATACAGAAAGCAAAGCAAAACAAAAAAAAAATAATAATTAATTAATGAATTGAAAACTGAGTTATAAATGTAAACGAAAATGTTAATAAGTAATGAATAACAAAACTGCAATTGTTTATTATTATAAGTAACGTTTAAGCCGCAAACCAATTTTTCAAAGCATTTTTGTTACAGATACTTCAATTGTTAACAAAAATTTTACATAATACTAGATATATGTATTGTAAAATTGAAGTGCACCTATATATAGTATACTTCTTTTTTTTATGAAATATTAATTCATTTTTAAATACTTACTTTATATAG